CGATTCATTTAACTTGCTAAGAGATTCTTTCCGGTAACGTCGCGGTGTGTTTAGTGTGTTATTCAGGAAAAGAAATTTTCTCTCAAGAAAGGACCCATTTTCGACATACTTCGTAGTCGAGCGCAGTTCGCGGATTTCCATCCCGCTTTTCTTACTCAAGTTTGTCGACTAGCGATCGTTAACACCCTCGTAATCGTTGTCGCGAATACGCACCGTGAAACCAAATGGCGTGCACATCGGCCCCCTCGAACATTTTGTTTATGACATTTCCCCTCAATTTCGCTCCAGTGCACAATTTGCGAGAATTTCGGTTTGCCTTACAAGTAATTATAACATCTATTATATTATTCATTTACGACATTCTGCCGTATAAAGAACAACTTGAAATAAAATTGCGCATTATGTACATAGTAAAAAATAAAATGTTAATTTTAACATTTTTCACATGTCTCGGAAAGTTCACTCTAAATTTTAAATTAAAATAACTCATTCGCCGTACGTTTACTTATTGACAAACTAAAAATGTTAAATAATTGACACAATACTTTACATTTATTTTTGTTATTATGACTTTAAGTGTAATGTAAAAATAACATACAAATTAATTAAAAATTACATGAAAAAATAGTTACAATAACTCGTAAGAATTGTTGTAGGACATTAACATATAATAAAAATTATTTTAACTTAAATTATTTGTAATAGAAACATTTGATTTTAATAAATTTGATTATTTTGTATGTCAAAGTTCAAAATTATTTAAAGATTTACTTTAACTTTTCTTAGAATGTTAAATTGACTTTGAGACATTGCTTAAAATGATTATGTTAAAAATACTCAAAATAATATTCCATTTCTAAGAGACGTATACAAAGTGTTAAGTTATGAAGTTGACATAAATATAACACACGAAAACGTTATAAAAATAATAACATACAAGTTGTAAGTTAATTTTACATCAAATACTAATAAAAACGTGATAACATAAGAAAATTTTAACATATGGACAGACAATTTTTTGCTGTAAATTGTCACAATTTGATACAGAAGACAAAAATAAATAAATAAAGTTTAAGTGTCGATGAAAAATTGATATTGTATGAATAATAAATATAATATCGTATCAATAAATGCAATATCGTTAGAGCCTGTAAAAAGTTTAGCTTATCTAATCACAATTTCCACAATCTAATTTCAAATTTACAAATTATAAATAAAGCTGGAGAGAAGAAAATCTCTCCAAAGTTTTCATTTTCGTCTATTTCATTCCACAAAATTTTTAGCTTCGTTCACTTCTGCAGGCGCAATTGTGGCACGTGGATCATGCGTGGCATGTGTCGCGGCCAGCACGCATTTGCATAATTCGCATATTAGGACAATGCCGTCAGCATGCGTAAGAATATTTGAAAAAAAAGCGAGCGCTGGTGGAAGGAAGCGTTTATACTCGAGCTCATATGAGGCTCTTCTGTCATCGTTGCATGTCACACGGGACGAAACAGGGGGTTGACGAAAGGGTAGCAAAAAGATTCGTCCCTTGCCGCAGAGACGACCACATTCAAGATATTCGAGTAATTTCAGCCGTAGGAATATTCATGAACGATGCTGCGGTTGCTTGCCTGTATCGTTCCGCTTCTATTCGCTCTATCATCCGGTCGGGAGATCCGTGCAAATGAGAGGCCGTTGAGAAAGAAAGAGGGGTGCTCGATGGACGATCGTTTGCCCTGAGGTAGAAAATGAGCCAAAAGACAAAGAGAGAGAGAGAGAAAGAGAGGGGTAGTAACCGAGATTAAGCGACAATATCCACGCTTCAATTATCTAAAGTGCATAGATAAAACCAATGATATTATGCAGTTTGTCATAGCAATTGCCAACCGTTTACTCGAGATAACGAGATAATCAGACACACGAGTGGACAAAGGACAATAATATTCTTCTATTTTTTTTTTATTTTATAACTGTTCTTGCAACGAAAAAAATCTTTTGAGATATCTTGCATGAAAAAAATGAATTTTCTACATTAATAAATAATAAATGAATAAAATTATTTTATAATTATTTATTAAATGAATTTATTATTATTTATTAAATGAATAAAATTATTTTATTATTATTGAATCTAAATAGAAAGAATAAGATATATATAACAATTTTTTTATATAACAAACAGAAGAAAGACAGGAAAAGATAGCGGTATTAAAAAATAAATTACTTTGAATTATAATTTCGTGCTACTCTTTAAATTCACTATTTTAATCACTATACCCTGTATTTAATGTAGAATAATGTAGTTTAATCCAGCCATAAAAAAATTTGCGCTATCGCTTAAAGCTCTCAGTTCTTGTTCCTTACGTTGCCTCGTCCAATTCAGGTGAAAATTTTCCTCAAGGCAAAGAGCTGAAGAGAAATAAAGAAAATCTTATTTTTCAAGACTTTACAATCTCGTCCGATTTTCTGACTGAGAAACGCTAACTCGCGAAGCCGAGTTTTATCGGCCAGACCTCTGTGGTCGAAAACGAGAGAGGGAATTCGAGCTGTACGCGCGAGACAATTTGCGAAATCGCGATCGCCTTGAGGGCTGGGAAATCGAAAACCCATGATTGCGATTTGTGCGCACGAGCATTGTATGCGGTAACATGACTATGGGCTGCTTGCATTCTCGTACAACGTCAAGTTTCTGCGTTTCGACCGCATTGCATGTCTCGTTGAACCGTTTCGCATAAATCAGCGCATTGTGAATCAGTTGTCGAATCGTTTATTGAATCATTATTCTAATTCATCAAGTCAAATAATTCTCAATTTCTGAAAAAATAATCGCAGTTATTAATAATTACTAAAGAAGCTCTAATATAATAGAGATTCAATCGAGAGGAATTCAACTGCAAAGGATGTAATATCAGATTTAATGCTCGGCATAAGTACGGATCCAAATCATTACGGACGCAAATTACACAGCTATCTTTCGTCACAATTTTAAGTTTCTTTCTATCTATAAATTTAACAAAATATGTAAATGCGTTGATGTGAAAAAAATTGTTTCGATATTTCCATATCGGTCCAACAGAGCATGTTTAAAAAAAATTCGAAGCACAATATATCCGATTATTACAATTCCTATATCGAAATGTTAATTTTTACGTTATGATGCGTATTATCTTGTGTATTATTTTACCTCATCTCGACGTCAAATATCGATACAATCTTTCATACAGATTTTTTAATCTTGTTATCGTTTATTAATTATGATCGCACACATATTTGTTTTGGATCTGTGATTAGCAATTTTAATTCTATGTGATATATTACAGGATTTTGTTATTAGTTTTACATCTACTTTCGATTCAATAACCCAAGAAAAAATGTAATAATTTTAGAAATTATTTGTCTTAGCTATTATATTTTCAATTTTTTATAATCAAGGACAGTTAGTATCTCAACATTTTGTCAAATAAGAATTAATTTACGATAGATGAATAATTCATACATAAGACAAAGTGCTATAATAAGTTAGCTTGTTATAAAGTTTCGACGTAGTTGTTCAAAGTATTTCATATGAATATACTTTACACGAGAAAAAGTCATAATCAATATCGATTAAGGAAAAAATCACATTTAACAGCGACTCTCATAAAAGACGCCGACTTGTGTCACGCAATCGATGCGCATTCCTTTTGTTTCGGCCTGTCCTATTAATCGACGGTCACCGAGACCATCTTTCACCGTTAACGAGGCGAAAGGTGCTGGTAAACAGAAGAAGGCGGCAAAAGTCGGAGGTGACAGTAGTTCTAATCGGCGATTCCCCCGTTCTCCCTCTTCGGGTCATCCCTTGCACCGGAAGTGTCACCGAAGGTCGAATTTACGGCCGGGAACAGGTTTAGGAAGGGTCGTATATTTAAGGCCGTACATTTCGGTTCCAGAACTTTTTCGAAATTTATTGTGTTACAGTAATATCCGTCACTTCGTTCGTGCCAGAGAAGAGAAACAAGTAATAATTTTATATGATCGGATCAATAATTTTATCGCGTTAAATCATTCACAATTGTAATATGTATGCAGATGATTGATAAATAATTATAAATGCGATGTGATAAAAACGTGTTATATAAAAATACTGCTTGTCAAATGTTGAATATGTGAATTTAATAAAAAATAAAAGCGACGATAAAAATTGAAATCTCTGAAATATTTAAACAACGTTTAAAAACGATCATAAATTTATTATTTCGCGCGCTTTTTATGTTTTCATACATTTTTGTGCTTTCTTCTTCCTTTAGAAATAAAATTTTAAAAGATACTTGCTTTGAATACAGAAAATATAGAAAATACACGTGACGACGCGAGCAAAATAGTTTATATCTGTCATCATGATATTATTTGTCTTTTTTTTTTTAATAATTGATTATCAATCTATGCTTTATGTCGTTCAATTAAAAATTCAGTAGCTTAAAAAAATCAATTTAATTCAAGAAAAATGCTGTCTTTGGTTGTGCTAAATATTTTGTTATCGTCGTACAAGTTTAAGTTTTGTATTGTCACGTCATCGATCAAAAAATATCTGTCAATGATAATTTTTAAAAATCAAGATTGATCGCATGAAAATCCGTAAGAATGACAATAGCGAAACCAATTATGTTATCGATCTGCGTTTCGCTATGACTTTCGTTTATACTAACATCAATCAGTCTTGATTCGCCACCCTTGAATTTTAACACGCCAGAAACAACGATGGCAATGATGAATGCGTTGAAAAGGCACTATAAAAGACACTCGTTCACTTGGAAACTTTAATAATCGTGTGCGTTCTCGGGATTGAAATAAAATCGTCGAGGACCATTTAGATGGAAATTTACGCCGTTAATAAGGTACAAAGCTTTTAGCAAACGTGCAAAAAGCGCCTACCGTAGGGGCGACGAAGGGTAGATTTATGATCGCGGTAGAGGAAGGGTGGCTTGCGTCCCGATTCGACAAAGGTTAACCGATTCGCTTGTTTATTTTCGTTGCAGGGCGACCCATGGTTCTTCCATCTAGTCAGACGGTGACGGCAAACGAGGGTGAGCCGCTGGACATTATCGTCGAGTTCTGTGCTGAGCCGAGTTACACGAAGGTTCTCTGGATATCGGAGGAGCGAGTGTACACACCGGATGCACCTTCTCACGACGGAGTCCAAGCCCTCGCAATCGAGGTAAATTTGCATGTCTTGCTGCATCAAACATGGCTTGCATGCTCGTGTGTCTTCGCAGGATTCCTCTATTCCTTCAATGATTAACCTTCAAATTCGGATTACATCAACATACTTGATTAATTCGGCAATAAATTCGCAATCCATCGAATTATTTATTGGAAAAATAATTTTGTAATGGCCGATTTTCATTTCTTCTCCGAATAAAAGATTGTGAAATGATGTTTTTGAGCGCAATTATTGTCACATATTTATTTATATTTATTTATAAGATTCGCAATCCATCGAATTACTTATTAGAATAATAATTTAGAAATGGCCGATTTTCATTTCTTCTCCGAATAAGAAAAGATTGAAGATTGTGAAATGATATTTTTGAGCGCAATAATTGTTACATATTTATTTATAATGCTTTTATTTATAATTGTAATTGTATTAGACGTTAAATACACTTACAATTGAAATGCTAATAATGAAAAAACTAATATGAGAAATGCGCTTCCTAATTTCCAGAATGTTGTTATTATCGCTGTAAATAAGAAATTGTTTATTTATATCATAAATTATACAAAAGTAAATGTTGATTGCTCTTTTATCGATTAATTACAGTGTCTTAATATTTGATCGAATTTGTTTTTTCCCGCAAAATACATTTCATTTTTCGCGAATCTGCTACGAGTAAACTAACTGATATTGTACTTCCCAAACGCGTTTCATCAGTTGTATGTTTCCACTTTACAGAAGGGGAGTAATTGCAAATAGAGAATATATAAAAATTGCAAACTTTACACAACGGCACACAATAAAATCTCTGTAAAAAAATTGTACAAAAAATATTGATCACGTATCTATAGTTTGCAAATATTGATTTCTTATGTTGCAGCAATATTTAATAATTAAACGCAATGATATATTTCCTCAAATATTTTCTTTACTTACGTAAAATCCTGCATCTTTTGTTTTAATACTCGAGGTACTTAACTGATTAACAATTATACTACAATCATATATAAACGCAATATAATTATTATTATATTAATTATGTATTTTATTAATACAATATATATCATTTCTGTTTTGTTTATCGATTTGCATTCTTTTCGACGTAGAACTGAATAAAATAACAAAGATATTAGATATTCGACTCATTATTTTTAATATGAATGATCTTTTTCTGTCGATGCCGTGCTTTCGCACGCTGTAAAAATGCGTGAAAATACGATTCGCGCGTCCGCTTCACGTGAAAATTCGTCATCTTTTGTAATACGGACACGAATTATGTTTGTACATCCGTTCGGGGATTACACGCTCCCCGGAGACCCGTTTAGTCCTTTGACGCGAAAATTATGCCGCTATCCTGGCGCGGACGTTCGCGCGATATCCGAGATACTGCAACACGCAACTTGGCGTGGGAGGGAGGGAGGAAAAGAGGATGAGAGAGGATGAAAGAGAGAGCAAGAGAGAGAGAGAGAGAGAAAGAGAGAGGGAGAGGCTGGGGGAACTATGAGAACTGGAACAGCCAGGGTTGCGTTGCGTCACGAAAACGCTCGAGCGGAGGGAACGAGATGAGAAGGAATGCAGAGCATGTGGCAGCAGACATATAGTGACGAGATATACATACATACTACGGGAATATTATGCAGGGACGCGCGTGAATACATATACACGCTTATTTCATTTCCGCAGCCGGCAAACTTCTTTTTCCGCGCCCGAGCGGAGACGGAATCCGCGAGCGTAGCTGCATCATAAAAAGGACGGATTAACCATTTTTTTTTTCCTTTTTTTTTCAGTCCCGCCGGTAGGACCGGGCGGGCGCAAACAATGCGACGGAGCTTTACGAGGGATTTGCCGATGCACCCGGTGTTGCGTTTGTTTTTATTAACATTTGATCCTCTTCGCTCCGCGCGCGCAGTCTGATTTCCGCGGTGCGAGTAACGACTAGCTCGGTCGATACCATTGAAAATTGCTGATTTTATTGGGAAGCGTGACGAGATGCGGGCGTAGCAATACACGTGTATGTACACGCGTTACTACACGCGCAAATATAATATTTTGGAAATACATCTCTCACACATTATATACATGTATATAAAAATACGAGAGTGGTTTGAAAAGTCCGTGCAAAAATAAAAACTACTTAATTTTTCGGGATAAATCTTTTTCATTTTTTAATGTAGTCTCCTTTTAGGCTTATATACTTCATCCAACGCTGCTCCAGTTTGTTGATCCCTTCCGAATAATAGGATTGGTCCAACTCTTCAAAATAGGCATTCGTTTCCGCAATCATCTCCTCGTTTGAATAAAATCTTCTCGCCAGCCATTTCTTCATATTGGGAAACAAATAGTCTGAGACAGCTAAATATGGAGAATAGGGTGATGCGAAACGAGTTGGAACTTTAACTGCATCAATTTTGCGACCAAATTCTTTTTTATCCATTTTTTGGAGATCACTTGACTTCCTCGATTCAAACACCAAACACAGAAAAATAGACCGATTTGGCTGAAACTTGGTGTGTATTCTCCCAAGAAATGCTACTAACTGAAAATATTTTTTTTTTAAATTTAGAGTATAAAAGAAAGCCTGAGGGTTACCCATCCAGCTATTATACATTTGTTAACGAGTTATTCTTATACTTCATTTTACACGAAATTACACGAAATTACAATATTTGTAGCCAGAGTCTAAGATGAAATAAAATAAAATAAATAAAATAAAATTCATTATGATATTTATAAGTATCGTTATACCTATACTTGTAAATCTAAATTAAAATACCAAGAAGAAAAGAAAACTGTAGCATACAATAACATATATCTATACGATATCGTATTTACGATAACATACTTATTATCTTTCACTTAGGACTATATAGACAGTTTTATTCTATCATCTATTCTATTCTAGTACTTAAAATTAAAATTACAATTAAATATCTCCTTTACTCTAACTTTTAATATAACTGAAAATAACGTCGATACACACCAGTAGTGCCATCTCTCTGACTTTGCACGGAGTTTTCCATCCTCGTATATATAATATAATATAAAAAAAAATATATATATATAAAATAATAAATAAATATAATATAAAATATATATAAAAAATACGTTCTCGTATGCATTACTTTTTGTAGAGGGATTCAAACAACGCGTGGAGAAATTAAAACAAGCGCATCGATATTTTATGCAGGCCATCTCTGTAGAAGGGATACGTATAATCAAAAAATGATAATGGTTTTCAGTTGTTATAGTTTTTTCTGATGCTCAAATATTGCGATAATATTATCGGATATTATTAAGATGCGTGCGCTCTTTTCATGATATACTTTATACGCAAAATATTTTCATAACACCGCTTACGTATCGATCTTCTTTTCACGAAAGTACTCGGCTGAAAGCTGTACATATCCAACAGAGAGAGAGATAAAGAGATTCATCTTTGCGCAAACTTTTGCATAATCGTAAAATATTAAAAATGACTTATTTATTGTAATATTTTAAAATATATGAAAATTGCAAATACATAATATAAATCGTTATATTACTATTTAATATAAATTATTATATTACTATTTAAAGGGAAGCAAAATTATATTATTAAATTATATTATATTACTATTTAAACAAAAACAAAAAAGTTATTTCACATAAAGCCATAAATATACTTACTGTATTTTATAATATATTATTTATTTTATAATTGTTATCATAAAAAATATGTATTGTATGTCAATCACAAAGGAAAACAACTTGATAACTTGACAACTTGAATTGATAATTTATTCTTATTCTGTTACTTAACATTGCATATTTTCATGAGTAAATTATAACTGCGAAGGAATTATAATTACATTATAACAGAAGAAATTTAATGGTAAAAGCAAGAATATATTATATTCCAGAGAGATTTTAAAAAATATTACAAACGCGAAGAAAAGAAAGAAAATCAGAATAAATAGCGATTGATCAAAGTAGAAGAAATCTCAAATATGTTATCAGATGAAAAGAGCAAAAGAAACAAAAAGAAGAGCATGACAGAAATGAGATCAGAAACTCACGAAGAGAATAGGTTAATATAAGATAGAGAAAAACGTTGGAAAATCCCGATAGAAAAATTTCGAACGAGCAAAAAGAATAGAATATGTTAGCAAAGGAATACTGAGCACAGTAGAGGCGAACGAACGATGGGATAGCACGAGAGAGAGAGAAAAAAAAGACAAAAGTCAGAGAAAAGTTAGAATGTGTTAGCGGAGAAAGTTTGAACAAACTAGAGAGAAGGGATGAGAGGGTATATGTGCGAGGGAGGAAGGAAGACGATGGTCAAGCGGAGAAGGAGAAGGTACAAGCAAAGCCAAGATATGTCAGCGTAGCAAAGAAAGCGGAGATGGAAAAGTGCACACAAAGATAGCACGAAATGAAAGTAACAAGAAAAGGTAGACGAGGAGAAAACCCAGCAAGCTAGACGGGAGATGATTCTCAAAGAGGGAAGCGAGAGTAAGGAGAGGAGCTCGTGAATAGAGAATACAAGTAGAACGGGTCGACGGATGGGGAGCACGAGCCTCCGGATGGAAGTCGAGGAAGGAGATGGAGAAAGGCTGAAACGCGAGGTTAAATGGAGCAAGAAACTGCGACTCCTTGCATGCGAAAAACTCGCGAAGACCTTCACGACGACGACGACGTCTGCTCCGAATCGTGGCGACAAAATATCACCGAGGAACGGCATTGGTCCTGCCTTGAATAGCGAGCCTGATTCAATTACGCAAACATTCAATTTCTCTTCGATCCCCGACCGCGTCACCAATAAAATGAATGCGCGAGGAAAACATCTCCGTTGCTTCGATATTAAAAGAACACAATAACACGCCGTGTATATTCGACCGGAACGACGAAGGGGTCTTTTATGAAGTCGTTGTACATGTTCTAGTGTTTGAAATAAGATCGAGAGAGGAAGCGTTACGTAACATCACGGTCGCTTCAATAGTAGAAAAATATCTATGATGTATGTAATCGTAACATTTCGTGTCGCTCATATATCACAATTACAATTACCAAATGCCGTAATTTTTATGACACTGTGAAATAATATAAATCATATTTTTGAAAGTTGATGGCAAATGTTTTATATTTTAACATATGACATATTCTCTCTTTCTCTTTCCACTTCTCTCTATTTATTATTAAAAAATTACCTCAATTTACAGATATTAAAGTGCGGTAAAGGATATGTCATGTTTTGACAAAATTTATACACGCACTTTAACATTGTAATAAATTAAAATATTCTTGTCAATAAACAAATTTTAAAATACAGTACGATTTTTATCCTAAATTATTTCATAGCAATAAATATTAAAATAAAATACCTCAAGTATTTATTATCTTTTAATTTAATTTATAAAATGTATTAAAAATATCGCAAATGATATATTTGAAATATTAAAGTCATGAAAAAAAAGCTGATGTAAAATATTTTTAAAAGTAACTTTAGTAAGACAATAAATCGCAATTACACAAAAACATTAGCTATGAATTATATACGGTGACGATGAAATATTTTCAAGTCATACCAATAATCATTAAGAAATAGCTTTACTTTTCTTTTTTATCTTTCTACGGATCATTAGTATAACTTTCCTATTAGGATCAATTATCCCATAAACCGGAAGTTCCTTGGACCTACGACCGGCTTAATACGATTGATTTTTCCGTGAACAAAGAAAAGAAGTCAAAGAAAGAGAAGTCATTATAGATACTAATGCGGAAAGTAATAAAACGTATTTTAAGGGGATGAAAAAATCGAGAGGGTGTGTAGACTAAGTGGAGAAGAGCAGGGAGGGTCTAAGAGTAGGTCTAAGAAAAAGCAGTCGAAGGCAAGATGGATAATTGAAGCGAGAACACGTTGCCGGAAGTTTCCAGTTTCCTCCGGCCGGAAGTTTTACGTGAAAGTTTAATCGTAAAGACGTAAAAGGGACACCTTTGCCTCGATAAGGGGACGACTCCGGACGACTGGATGGACGTTATCGAATCGTGAGTTAATGAGCATTATGCGATAAAAATGTCTCGGTCTGAAACGTGACCTGCGGCAACCAAATCTCAGTGGTTCAAAATGCCATGAAAGCGCCATGAAAACGCTCTTCACAAAGATCTTTGCGAGCTCCACTTCCATCATCATGAATTGTAGCTGCCGTCGTTACCTCGGTTCAGTTAAAGGAAACTTTCGGAATTCTCTTCAAGATATCTCGACTGACAGGAGAGAAGAAAAGGGAGGGAGGTCGATATGGGTCAATTTCTAGCAAACTTTCGTACTCTGGCTCCAACTAAGAATTTCAGTTAAGTCTCGAAGAATCGTTTCCGGTCCAATTAAAAATGTACGCGATCGTAAAAGTATCGCGCTTAGTAAATTATAAATTTGAAAAATACAGGAGTAATAGAAGCGGCTTGATTGATTTTACAATCAACTCCCAACTTTAAGACATTAATTTAAATATGTCTATTAATATATTTTTCTAATATATCTCTTTTATATACGAGGGTAGTTTGAAAAGTCCGTGCAAAAATGAAAACTACTTAATTTTTCGGGATAAACCTTTTTTTACTTTTCAACTCCTTTTAGGCTTATACACTTCGTCCAACGCTGCTTCGTTGAGTTTGTTGATCCCTTCCGAATAATAGAATTGGTCCAACTCTGCAAAATAGACATTTGTTTCCGCAATCGCCTCCTCGTTTAAATAAAATCTCCTTCCCGCCAACTATTTTTTTTATATTGGGAAACAAGTGGTAGTCCGAGGACGCCAAATCTAGAGAATAGGAGGGATGCGGAACGAGTTGGAATCTTAACTCCATCAATTTTGCGATCAAATTTTCTTTCATCCATTTTTTAGAAATCGACCTCCTTGATTCAAACGAACTCCAAACACAGAGAAATAGATCGATTTGGCTGAAACTTGTGTGTTCTTTCAAGAGATGCTACGAACTGAAAATAATCTCGATACACATTAGTGGGGCCATCTCTTTGATTTTGCCACCCTCGTAAATTTGAAAAATACATGAATAATAGAAGCGATTCGATGGATTTTAAATTAACTCGGCAACCTTGGGTATTAATTTAAATATGTCTCTTAGTTATTATATTTTTTATAATATATGTCTCTTATATAATACATCTTTATTTCATGAATAGAATTAAATGCGCTTGAAAGTTCCTGGCAAACTTGATCTTTTTCAGAGACACGTACAATGAGACATGTATAGCACACGATGAAAAGCGAAACTACAGACATTCCCTCTTGACCTTTTGCAGGACGGCGGCACAGAATCGTGTTACAGGACGACCTTGCGTTTCGAGACGATTCAGTGGTCTCATGCGGGGGAATGGCTGCTGCTGGTCCGTTCGTCGGAAGGGCTCGCCGACGCTTCCGTTCTGCTCAATGTGACGCGCGCTTCCGGATACAGCCGTGCCCACGTCCAGTCAGCGAGTATCACGTACCTTCTGCTCTGCCTGATCCTGCAGGCATTCCTGCAGGAACATCGCCACTGAAGCGATCCAGGCGGAAGAAATCTCGGCGAAACTTCTGACGACGCGGAAAGCTCGGATGTCGGCTTTTCCCGAAATGACGAGGGAAAAGGGCAAGTTTCTCTGTACATATAATATATTGAAATCCTCTTTTTCGACGAATTTTCCCCGCGCGATTTTCACGCGTTGACGAGACGCGCGTTTGTCCAACATGCTACGACTTATGTATCTTTAGTATCGCGAATACGATAGAAATTCGATCAAATCGTTCCGCTGATACGCCTTGGGCGCCAATTACTAAGGCCTCGGTGTTCTACGGATCTTGTAGCGAATTCTCTCGTTCTATTTGAACGATTCTACAAGACGCATTTACTAATGTTTGCGATCGCGAAGAAAAAAGTCGTCGTACGAAATCTTTAAGCATGCTTGAGCGTCTGTACGAACGAGTATCCGTGCGAGAAATGGTTCAAAAAAATGAAAAGAAAGAAAAATTCGATTTCGCTGGCCTTATACGAAAATAGTGACGGAGAGAAAGGAAAGAGATCGCGCGGACGATACATATTTATATAGAGAGAAAATTTGTAAACTATACGAATTTACGCGCGCTGACATTCGCGCGATACGCCGTACGATGTGTATATACTTGTATAGGTAAAAATAAATAAAATAAGCCAATGTTTACGAATTGTGGAACGCGATGTTTCCGCATGTAGGGATCAGAATGAAAAAAAGAAGACCAATTTTTTTTCATTTCTTTTTTATTTTTTCTTCTTTCTTCTTTTTTTTTATCATTCGCGAATCTTCGGCAAATAAAAAAGCTAGCGCGCGAGATATGGCTTGTACGGTGGACAAATTTCAACGGATCGATTTTGTCCCCGAATTATAATCATTATAATATCGCGAAGCAAGCCCCCATGATGAAATATGGTGGACGATACTGCCTATAATAATAACGAAATAATAAGAAATAAACGAGCATGACACGATAGGAAAAAAAAAAAGAGATCACCGCAAATCTTAATAAAGAAGATACGACGGTCTCCCCTGCATGATCCAGGAACGAAAGTTTCGTGCTGCCGGAAACAAACTTAATTGTGCAACGTCAAATAGGTCCGGAGGTAGGGCGGCTAAAAATTAAATAAATTGTTGTATATTACTTAGGTAAGTAGAATTTGATAGCGTGTATATAGTGACTGTAAATGCGTAGGTTTATCGTACGCCCGTACACGACGAATTAATACAGTGTGACGCTGTTAGAGATATATTTATTATTCGTTGATATATTTTTATAAAGTTTTATTTAGCTATAAGTTCTCGTTCGCCTTCCTCCCCCTCTCAACCCGAAAGAATCTCGTTCGCACGATCGTAACGCTCGTTCGTTTCGTTAGGTAGAGAGCAAAGCGGTGGCGGCGCTTTGAGTTATCAACTTTTCAACGAGAACCATTACAATAAAATACTATGTCCTACGAACGTCCTAAATTGAATCTAGCTAGTAGTTCATCGTGTGAGAAACGTGGACAGATTGTTGTCTTTATGATACTTTGGTCTATTCGATTGGGCGGGATTTTAGCGTCTCGTCCCGAGTCCCGCTTCTCTCGAGCTGAGTCTTTAACCGTAATTTTTTTCGTAAAAATTCGGTGGTTCCTAATTTTGTAAAAATAGAATTTGTACTCGGCTTATACCGATAATCCGACTAATGATAACCCTTATTGTCGGTACGTCCTATCCGTGTGCGCGCGATCGCAGTCGGTACTACCTATAGATACGAAATAAACATACCTGATGTCTTCACGTTAATTTAGTCTACTCGATGAACCCGACTTGTTTTCAAATCGCTAAGGTGTTACAAGTAAGCAACGTGATGTAATCGTTGTACCCAATGACGCCTAAGAGTTCAATAAATGATATTTACAATAACGATGGGTGTACTATGTGTTTAAAATGTCCCCTTTATGCTCTGTCATATTTTTCATATTTTTTTATTCTACATCAGTTTAGTTTATATTAATATTTTTCATCAAAATTTAATATTAATCGAATTTACGTAGAATTTAACGTGGATAATGAATGAATTGAAAAAAATTCATTTTTTATTCTCTTAAATTAGGTATTGAAGAAGTCCTTAAAGGTAAGTATGATCAATACTTTTAATATATCTGTCATTATTCGCGAGCTTTTCAGATCGTCATTATTCGCAATTATATTTGTTTGATAACTTTTTGGCCAAAACTATCGTGAGTCTTATTAAGATCTGATGAAAAAAAGTCGACAGATATAAAGATTATGAAACTTTAAAAGGTTTTCTCCTCGAAACGCGTATTCGCGAAGGAAATACAAATTGAGTTTCTCTAATAAATAAGATAAAGCTTAAAAAAAGAAGCTTCGGATAAGCTCTGAGTAAAGGGAACGAGGAGAATCGCAGATATAGACGAATTACTTTTACAAAGAAATCACGCGAAGAATCCTTTCAGCTAACGTGACCGACTTTACAGCCATTTCCTCCCAAATGGTTTTTACCCGTAGTTTGAACTGCGACATTTGAGACCTAGTCTGTTCTCTATTACTTCTTATCCCGGCCGTTTCCTGTTATTCCGAAAGATTTATATCCGCTTCTACGTACGATGGAAATGTATTGTATGCGTTCCTTGCTGGTTACGAAAATACATGAAACACTCGAGAGAACAGAGTAATTTGAAAAATTCAACAATTTAATTCTCTTAGATTTATTAATCAGTGATTTCATTTCGTCTGAATTCACGTTTTACTGAATTAACTAATATAAAAAGGAATTTCAAATTTTCATTTCGATTTTAGCCTGATATGTGTCAAATTATTTTCGATAGGAAGGAATAAAAGTGCAATCTATTTAAACTCATTCATTCGGCATTAATATACTTTTCTAAAGCGTCCCTAAATTGGGTATTCGGCCGGCAAATGCGATGAAAAATTGTGATCTAATGACATTTTAATTAGCATGTCGCTGCCACTTAACAGCACGTAATATCTCGCGTTAAGAAATGAATTTTCCTTCAAATTGCGTGCGTCAGATCATACACGTCTGGGAACGTTTCTCGCTAAATTGCGCCACGTCGGAATTTAACGGTATTAAAATTGGCCGCGTTATGCCTCGCCACACATGCGTATTGTGCGCATATATGTGTACACACATGTAGCATATATATGTGTATACATATATATGTGTGTATATATATATATATATATATATATATATATATATATATATGATGATGATGAAAATAATTTAATTCGCAATACCAACAGGCAGTGTAGCGTGGCAAATGCGCTAACCAAGTCACGTGTAACAGCCGCGTTAACTGGCGCGTATACACGTGTATATATTTCTCGGCTTAAATATAACGAGCTTTCGCTACGCGAACATCGCGATGAAGGCAAGGGGAGGAAGAGGAAGGGGTAGGAAGAGGATGAGGTGATGGTGGCGGGGTTTCAGCTTGCAGGAAGCCCGGAATCGTTCCGTCTCTTCCTTCGCTCGCGCGCGACAGAACAATCCGGCTTTGTCTCATAGAAACGCGCCCTGCTTCCTACATCACCACTACCACTTGGCCGCAATTTCAGCTTTTCAGACATTGGCGGCAGATTGAAGGCCTACGACAGCGTGAAAAAAAAAGCGAAAAGGTCTTTGGGTCGCTTTAGCGACAATTTCACGCTCGGTTGGCTTATCATTAATAATAATTACGCCACCTGCGAGAGATCCAATTAATCTCGATGGTTTCAGCCCGACTTTCCAAGGTAACCATCAGACGGTCGTTCATTCATCGTTCTGAATATTTGATAGATTTCTGTAATATGTCTTATTTTTATTTATTTCGCTTGAATATAGATAACAATGCATAATTGAATGGTTATAACAGACAACTTATTTATTATCGGAGAGATAATGAAAAAATTCATTTCAACGTAAATGCTTAATACATGAAATTAATACGAGGGTGGTTTGAAAAGTCCATGCAAAAATGAAAACTTTTTAATTTTTCGGGATAAACCTTTTTTATTTTTCAACGTAATCTTCTTTCTTTAGGCTTATACATTTCGTCCAACGCTGCTCCAGTTTGTTGAACTTCCCTTCCGAATAATAGGACTGATCCAACTCTGCAAAATAGGCATTCGTTTCTGCAATTATCTCTTCGTTTAAATAAAATCTTTTCGCCAATCATTACTTTATATTGAGGAACAAGTAGTAGTCCGATACATCCAAATCTGGAGAATAGGAGGGATGCAGAACGAGTTGAAACCTTAACTCCATCAATTTTGCAGCCAAATTTTCTTCCATCCATTTTTTAGAAATCATTCGACTTCCTCGATTCAAACGAACGCCAAACACAGAAAAATAGACCGATCTAGCTGAAACTTGGTGTGTGTTCTTCCAAGAGATGCTATTAACTGAAAATAACCTCGATACCAATAGTGCCTTCTCTCTGACTTTGCATTCTTGACTTCTCAAACCACCCTCGTAAAAAATTAACGCAAATCCGATATTTAAAATATATTTCTTTTTTATTGCTAATACATTTTTAACACTCAATTTTTGAGGTATTTAGATTCCACTTTTTTCAATTGATACATTAGTTTACATCAGTTTTTTGGATAACCTTTGACACAAAAAACGATGACACACGAAAAAAAATGCTCGTAAATTTTCCTGTAAATTATGTCTTTACAATCTGTGTTCGGGCACCGAACTGCAACATCGTATTATCTCGTGAGATTTGAAACTCGTATATAAAGAAAATTATGTTCGGGATTTTCGTAGCTGAGTCGGCAGATTTTCGTGATCGCTCTGACTTTAATTTTACCGGTCGGGGATCGAGTCGATCCTAATACATAATGGATCCCCAAAGCCTACGGTCCGAAGCTCGTTCAATCGAATTAATGGCGTAGACAGCACTTTTTCCACCCCCTCTCTCACTAGATTAATACCGTGGCAATTTTATACGTGGGGCCACTCCGGTTTGTATATCGAAATTTTGCGATAAAGATTCTTCTTTCAAAAAAACAAATCAACTAATTAAAACTAATGAACTTTTAGCTCGTAACATCGAATTATTAATCAATTATGCTACATCCTGTTCGAGACATTTTAATAAATAATTTTCTTGATCATAAAAAGGTTATTATAGGTTAAATATCTTCAGTTGTTTCATATGCTTTTAAAGAATAATCTGAACCAAAATTTTTTTCCCGAATAATAATTGAAAAAAGAAACAAGGTGGTTTCACAAAAACGACATGCAAAAACCTAAAATTTATGCTTACAATTGCCAGTTGAAGTATTTCCAAGAACTTTTAATTTAATAAAAACTGTTATAATAAAATTAGGGTGGAAACACGAAGACGTAATGTTTCTATTGAGAAAATTAGTGATTAGCTCGTCTATTAATTTTGGAACACAAAAAGTGCATGAAAAAATGGTTAATCTTACATTATTATTTATCCTCCAGTTGCTCAAACATAAACAAAGTTAGATGCAAGTTATGCCTTCCTTCTTTTGTGAAACCTACCTCCCGCAAAACTCTATAAAGGACGTCTTCAAGAGTGTGCAGTTTAAAGCCTCGTGCTATCTTCCCTTGCCCGCTCACGTCAAGGTAGTTTTAACAATAAACTCCGAAACGGCAATACATTGCATCATTACTCTTGAACGTTACGTAATAAAGAGAAGCAAGAAAAATATGGATAGTACAAAGTTTGATAGAAAGTGTGAGAGCGTGCTTGCAACTTGTTCCATAAATTCTAAATTTTTTTATACAACCCATCATAAAATGTTATTTCGTAGTTAAATCCAAGTACAATTTAAGATTAAAGATGTAGAAGAAAAGACAAGTCCTACCTTGAGACTTATTATTACATTACTTTGTATGAACTGCTTGTCTCAAGGAAAAAATTATTCTTTACTATTAAATTACCTCACATTAGGTCGCATCAATTATACTTTTAAAATGGTCCTCTGTCTTCTCCTCTCTGATTTAAGTATCATTATGTCTATGCTAGCGTTATCAAACCGTGTACACCCGGTTATCGTATTTATTTTCTCAAAAGTTAACTGACTGCCATTCACAATTAAACAAGCCTTAGTTGAGAGTCGGGAACGAATAGCTACCTTTGTTATACGATATTGCCGGCATCTATCTTACTCCTGTCTCCGCTGAAAATCAAGTTCATCAAGGGTAGACAATTAACAAGGACGAAGCTACCAAAACTCGCTCTGCAGCGACGCCTTCGTCCTCAAGGAGGACCGAATAATGCCTACGTGGAGCCAGTAAATTACTCTTAACTTCTCGGAGGGTAAAAATTACGGAATTGTAAGGCTAGAGGAACACCCGGGGAGGGCTTAAACCTCCGTCGCCTCGCGAGGGGCCATAATTCTCGCGCTATCTACACAGAAATTGCTCCTTGCTTCGTCCGTGGTAGCAGCCACCCGCGGGAATCGCTCGTCATTTATTTATTTTCCCGCTTCCCACCGGGACGTGCACGTCAGAAAGCGCGAAAGATATACCCGAGGACACACGTGATCGGGAGTACATGCGCTGCCGCGTAGTATAGATCGTTCACGACGTTGCATCTGACATTCACACGATAATTAGTCGAGGAAACAGAGCGTAAAATGGTTCAAAGGCGAGTTGAAAATTGTGTTTGATTATAATCGATCTGAGAATCGGCGTTGACATCCCTTAAAGTCGAGAACGCAAAAATTTAACGCTTAATGTCAAAAATAAAAATAAAAGATTTAACGAAGAATAAAATAAATTGATTGATGATAAAAATTATTCAAAGATATATATTATACATATCACACTTTTGATAGATTTTTTAAAATTAAATAAATATATAGATTTTATGGATATTTTATTCTATTCATGATTATTGAAAATTAGACGTAAAGAGT